ACGGTTTAGGTTAGGTCAGGAATTCACGCCGATGCGCCTCATCAAGCATTTGTTCGCACCAGCTGCGCGGCAATATACGCTGAACGCTACACACCCTAGCATGAACCACCACACACTATCCAGCCTCCATTAACGCGAACGAGCACCAGCGTATCGCTTCCTCAAACCCACCACTAAATACCTGCTCAACCACAAAATGACACACTGCTCCACATACACAACCCCTGACCTTCCTCCAACATTACCTGCCCGTCTTGCACTACGCAAAGGCATCCACTCCAACAATTATCGCCCACTCAAATCCTCCTAACCAACTCCAAACATACAGCTTCGGCTCCTTCCTAATCACAACCCATACTCAAAAACCCACCGCTTCTTCTCACGCACTCTACACTATATTACCCCCATGTAACTTTCCCCCAACCCCCATTCAATGCACAGCGCTCCAGCTGCCGGTAATATGCGCGGGACGCTACACAGCCTAGCATGAACCAGCACACCGTATCAAGCCTCCATCACCGCGCACGCACACCAGCGCATCACTTCCTCAAACCCACCACTAAATACCTGCTCAACCACAAAATGACACAGCTCAACCACAAAATGACACATTGTTGCACCGACGCAACCCCTGATATTCCTCCGACATTAGCTGCCCGTCTTGCCGTATGCAAAGGCATCCACTCCATCAAATATCGGCCACTCAAATCCTTCTAACCATCTCCCAACATACCACTTGGACTCCTTCTTAATCACAACCGATAACCTAAAACGCGGCGCTTCTTGCCACACACTTTACAGTATATAACCCCCATCTATCTGCCCCCCCACCCGCCACTCAATGCACAGCACTGCAGCGGCCAAATTCATTACAGTGTTTCACACACAGCTGAGCCTGATCCTGAAATTCCGCGCACTTGCTGCGTGGCAATATACGCTGAACGCCACACAGCCTAGCATGAACTAGCAAACAGTAGCCAGCCTCCATCAACGCGCACGCACACCAGCGCATCGCTTCCTCAAACCCACCACTAAATACCTGCTCAACCACAAAATGACACACTGCTCCACATACACAACCCCTGACCTTCCTCCAGCATTAGCTGCCCGTCTTGCCCTATGCATAGGCATCCACTCCAACAAATATCGCCCACTCAAGTCCTCCTAATCAACTCCCAACATACCACATCGGCTTCTTCCTAAACGCAACTCAAGCGCAACAACCCGCCGCCTCGTCTCACACACATTACACTGTCTTACCCGCGCTTTAATCCCCCCCCACCCCCACTCTATGCACAGCCCTGCAGCTGCCACATCCAATGCAGTGTTCAACACGCAGCTAAGCCTAATTTTGCATTTATCCGCACCAGCTGAATAGGCGTGGTCGACGCACCTTTTATACGCTGAACGCTACACAGCCTACCATGAACCAGCAAACAGTATCCAGTCTCCACCACCGCGCAAGCACACCAGCGCATCGCTTCCTCAAACCCACCACTAAATACCAGCTCAACCACAAAATGACACACTGCTCCACATACATAACCCCTCACCTTCCTCCAGCATTAGCTGCCCGTCTCGCCCTACGCAAAGGCATCCACTTCAACAAATATCGGCCAGTCAAACCCTGCTAACCAACTCCCAACATACCACTCTGCTCCTTCCTAATCACAACCCATACTCAACAACCCACCACTTCCCGTCAGGCACTTTACACGATATTATACCCATTGACCTTCCCCCCATCCCCGCACGCAATGCACAACGCTCCCGCTGCAAAATCCACTGTAGTGCTTAACACGCATATGCCCCCCATCTTGCATTTATGCTCACTTCCTGCGTGGCAATATACGCTGAGTGCTACACAGCCTCACATGAACCCGCAAACAGTATCCAGCAGCCACCACCGCGCACGCACACCAGCGCATCGCTTCCTCAAACGCACCACTAAATACCTGCTCAACCACAAAATGACACGCTGCTCCACATACACAACCCCTGACCTTCCTCCAATATTAGCTGCCCGTCTTGAGGAATGCATCAGCATCCACTCCATCAAATATCGGCCACTCAAATCCTCCTAACCAACTCCCGACATACCACTTCACCACCTTTCTAAACACAACCCATACTCAAAAACCCACCGCTCATTGTCAAGCACTTTACACGATGTTGCCCGCATTTAGCGCCCCCCCAACCCCCATGGAATGCACACCGCTGCAGCTTCCAAATCCAATGCAGTCCATAACACGCAGCTAAGCCTGATCTTGCATATATCCGCACTTGCTGTGTGGATAAGCTCAACTCTACACAGCCTAGCATGCACCAGCA